TGTTAAATTTGTTTCCAAAATACCTTGCAAATTATATCTCTAATGTACCTCCATCTTCCCCAAATACTGTTCTCTCTAATGGCCTTGAGTCCATTACAGGCAAACTTATGAGTTATAATGTAAGATAAGTAATGTCTAGGGAGAATGTGTGCTTCTCAACTCCTCCTAGCTCCATTTTCCAAAGATAGAAGATGAATGTAAAAGCTAAAAATAAAAGCTTGATCTCATTCAGTTTGAATTAGACTATTCTATTTTGAGAATGTCTGACCAAATCCATCTCCTATAATACTTATGTTCCTGTCAGAAGGCGGTAATAAAAATGGAATAAAAATATACTGTTTAGAATATATATATATATATATTATTTATATTGTCTACTAAAAATGGGTGAGTAGGAAATAAGACAAAAGTTACAAAGCCTTGCTGAAAATCTTGCTCACATCATGGGTACTTCAATGACAAAGATCAAGCACAGCTAGCACAAATTACAGTGCATGTGTACAGAGTCTGATATATAAACAAAATAAATTATACGATCCTGGAAATATTTTATTTTTATATGCTACAATAGCCTTTATCTGAAACTTTCATCTAAAATCTTCTATGTCAAGCTACCAATTATTTGTGTGTATGTGTCTGTCTGTGTAGGTATGTATTTAGATACACATACATATATACATGTTCTTGGTGTTTGAGCTTGGATCAAATCACATAATATAATTTTTCTGGTTCTACCATTTTCTCACCTGTTAAAACTAGGGCAATCAATTGGATAATTTTTAATGCCTTTGTACCTCCAAAATGGTATAATACTCATCCACGAGGACCTAATGAAATACACTGTTGGTTCAGGTAGAGTATCTATTAACGTCATCATCCGTTTATTTTGTTTATAAACAGCATTCAACAGTGTGGTGTAGAGAATGAGTAAAGTATAACTGGCTAAGGAGACAGGTTCCAGGCTCAGGCTACCTTGGTTAAGTGTTGGCACAACTGGGTTTTTGGAGTGTGAACTCTGTAAGTCACTTAGCTTCTCCAAGCCTCAGTTTCCTCCTCTGTAAAATAAGTATAATAACAGCACTTATCTCGTGTGGGTGGTTGTGAGGAATAAATTATATAATCTATAGAAAGTATGCTGCACAGTGCCTGGTGTTCAGTAAGTAATGACTATTATTAGAATCATGGAACAAGAAGACGAAAATGAAACGAGATAAATGAAGGGGCAATGGAGAACAATGCACATAGAAATATTCTACTTTTAAACATAAGACTTGGCATTTATTTTTGCTCTATCTGAAGCCCCACTAAAATGACACTCAAGAAATTAACAAGGATAAAGAGGAAAGGAGAGATAACATTAGATGAGTAATGATGATCAAATTTGGGGAGATGGAAAGCAAATAGGTAATTCATAATTAATTTAGTAGAACAAAGCAAAGCTAAAACATCAAGTACCTGCACAGAAGTAGCCAGGAAGCAGTAAGCTGCTCTGCATCAGAGTATTCCAGAAAGACTCAGGAAATGGAGGCCTTGTGTATTTCTAAAGGCCAGGGTAAGGGACAGGGCAGCAAAATGGGAGGACTGGCTAAAAGTTTATGGCAGAAGCTGTGAGAATACCAGATGTCCTCCCCACGGAGTCGGGTAATAATTCGTTCTTTTCCTCTAAATACATTTAGAGGCTTAATCTCTGGGTGAGGTTGAACCAAAGGACTTTAGGCTCCAAAAGGATATCTGGCATGGCAGGAGGAAGGTTGCAAACTGAAAATATAAGCATAAAGTAAGATTTACAGATATATAGATACCCCAGATTCCCTGCCCCACTCACCTCTCAGAATACTGGCAGATAGATTTATATCTACAAGTCTGTAGTAAGACAATCGCTCTTTAAGGGAATTAACAGGACCAAGAAAAAAAACTAAGATCATTTTTGGATCCCTCGGTTAAAAAGTAATATCTAACCATCTACTAGCTAACAAATCCCGTGAACCTTACAAAGTGCTTTTCATTGGTTTTTTAGGGCCTCAGTCTTAAATATGAATGGACAGCCAATGACTGCCAAACAGTGAAGGAAAATCTCCAACATGAAAGACAGACATCAAAACAAACAGAAAAAAAATGAATTTAAAGAAACAGCAATAATTCACGTAACAGAAGAAATTACTGAAAAACTGATACTAATATCCTTAGACGGAAATGAGGAAGTACCGCATCCACAAAAGAACATAAAACTATATAAAGAGAAGGTTTAAAAAACAAGAAAAGCCTCCTGGAAATTTTTAAAAATACATGATATCAGAAAAAAAATTCAATAGATGTTTGGAAGATAGAGTTGAGGAGTTTTCCCAGAAGGTGGGAATAAAATATGAGGAGATGATTGGAAGTCAAAATTAAAGGAGATTAGAGAATAAATCCAGAAGGCTTAATAGGTGACTTAACAGGAATTCTAGAAAGAGAGAACTGAACAAATGAAGGAAGAAAATGATCAAATAAATGACACAAGAAAATTTCAGAGAAGAAAGAACATAAGAGCCTGCACAATGAAGGGAAAAAGACCCCCAGCAGAGATCACCCTGAAATGAATACCAGAGGTAGAGAAAAGACTCTAAAATCTTTGAGAAACAAACAAACAGGTCACATACAAAAGCCCTGGAATCAAAATGACACAATAGCAACAACATTTTGCACATCAATCAAATGTAAGTGAGGAATAAAGGTATTTTCAGACATGCAAGGTTTTAAAACACTTAATGAATGAAATGCACCCATTCTCAGGAAACCACTGGATTATATAATCTCTGCCAAATGCTGGCAAGGCTGTGGAACAAGAGGAACTCTCATTCACTGCTAGTGGGAGTGTAAAATGGTACAGCCACCTTGGAAGACAGTTTGGTAGTTTCTTACAAAACTAAACAGATTCTTACCATATGACCCAGCAATCATGCTCTTGATATCTGCCCAAAGGAGTTGAAAACATGTCCACACAAAAAACTGCACATGGATGTTTATAGCAGCTTTATTCACAATCACCAAACTTTGGAAGCAACCAAGGTGCCCTTTAGTAGATGAACAGATAAACTGTGGTACATCCAGACAATGAAAATCCAGTGCTAAAAAGAAATGAACTATCAAGCCATGAAAAGACATGGAGGAATCTTAAATACATATTACTAAGTGAAAGAAGCCAATCTGAAAAGGCTACATACTGTATGATTCCAACTCAATGACATTCTGGAAAAGGTAAAACTGGGAGACAACAAAAAGATCAATGGTTGCCAGGGGTGGATGCGGGGGAGGCAGAACTTTTAGTAAAGTGAAAATACTTTGTATGATATGATAATGATGGATATTTGTCAATTATGACATATGTATAAACATTTGTCCAAATCCATAGAATGTACCACGCCAAGAGCAAACCCCAAGGTAAACTATGGACTTTGGGTGATTATGATGTGCCGATGTAGGTTCATCCTTGATAACACATCATTCTGGTGAATGATGTTTATAATGGGGAGGCTGTGCATGTGTGAGGGCAGGGAGTATAAGGGAAATCTCTGTATCTTCTTTTCAATTTTGGTGTGAATCTAAAACTGCTCTAAAAAATAGTCTTGAAAAAAAGGCAGTAAAAAGAGCAGACAAAAATATGACCAGAAACCAAGAGAAACAATGGTCAGAAGTTCATAGGGGATTCAGACAATGGAGTTATCACATACCACTTTAAGAAATAAAGTTACTTAATAGTACAAGTCGCAGAAGGAAACAAGAGAATGGGGCAGAAAAAATAGTCAAGAATATAAAAGGTAAAAATTTTCCAAAATCAATGAAAGATATCAATCCACACACCCAGGAAGATCAGTGAGCCCCAAGGAAGATAAATGCAAAGAAGACTACACACAGGCACATCACAGTCAAACTGCTTAAACCAAAACAAAGAGAAAATCTTTAAAGTGGTTAGAGAAAAAAAGTGCCTCCCAAAAAGCGACAATAAGACTTAAAACTGACTTGTCAGTAGAAACAATGAAAACCTGAACACAATATTTTACAATGAATTCATTCACCGATTAGACAAATATGTACTGAATACCTACCACATGCTAGATACTGTTCCAGGTGCTTGGAACACATCAGTGAATAAAACAAAGAATGTATGTTACATTTAATGTGTAAAATTATATAATAAACACTTTTAAGGGAAGAAATTGTATAAAACATGCTTAACAGTCTATTTAGATAATACACTTCATTACTGCTGTTAGAATTACAATTAAAGTGTTAAATTTAATAGACTTATGACTAGTACTTTTTCAGTGATGGATGAGATTCTTTATAATCAAGTACAGTCTATGTATTAAAGAGCCTAAGTACTAGGCTGGCTTTTGGGTAATGAAGAGTCATGGCATTTCAGAGCTGATCTTCTAGAAAACCCCAGAGATGATCTATAGTCCAGACTCCTCATTAGAGATGAAAAGGAACAATATATTTAACTCAGTTTCCAAAGTCACACAAAGTAGTTAGAGACACATCTTAAGTCCCAATGACTCCTGGTCAAATGTTCTTTGTTGTGTTTGTTGTTTTCTTCACGGGGAGAGGGGTTTAATTTAATTTTTATCAATGTAACGTGCATATAGTTTTAAAGGTAAAATGACTTTATAACATTTAAAACAAAAAGCAGCAGTCTCCTTTCCTTCCTCTGCCCACCTCCAAGTTCCAGTCTCCAGAGAGAACCATGTTAACTTCTAATATTAATAATATTCTTTTGTTTGATAGAGTGTTACTTGCTGTGTGATAGCTAGTTTATCAGTGCACATAACTCATGTGCGTGAAAATAGTCCATTTCAACTTTTTCATTTTGCAGTGCATGCTTTTCATTGAAATGCATAAGCAGGATAACTGGTAGGTTACTAGCAACCCTGTTGCTGTATGTACAACAGGACTATTAACTAATGAAATTGATTTTCATGTGTGATTTCATGTGTGATTAGACTATAAGACTAGTTACTTACATGAGATAGGAAGCTGGCTGCAGACTGGGCAGCAGATGGTGGGTGTAGAAGGCGTGGTTTCACAGAAGAATTGGAGGTGTATCCAGGGCCCTTAAGTTCCTGGAAGACAATATACATGTGAGCAAAATAACTGTCAACCTACAGTGAGAATTGTGAAATCAAAATGTATTTTTGCAGATATAATTTCAGTCTTACATGTTGAACTTCTACAAAGTTTTAAGCCAAAGTATTAAGCAAGATGATTCGGGTGTATATTACTCTTTGGGGACTAATCATGGGCTTAGGAAGATGCCTTCACACTTCTGATGGATAAAATCATTCCAGATGTGAAAACGTATCTCGGATGGGACGCTACTACGTTGGTTTCTAACTTTGCCAAACACTCCACACTACTTCTGACATACTACTGAGAAAGACCCTCTCCAACTATGGAGTGCTCCTGCCTGTGAAAATATCCAGTATTGAGACTTCAAAGTATGTCTGCAACTTTAAAATATACTCGAAAGCCAGACATATACTCCAGTGGAAAAATCTACTATTTTTAAAGAAGACATGTTTTGTCATGCAAATTACATCATTTTTTTAATTTTCCAAACAAGCCAAACATACTTGACCTCCGGTATACAAATCTCTGGTTCCCCAAGGTAGGTACTTCTATGTTTCCCTCATTCAGTATAGACTTAACAAAAAGCATGGTGCTTCAATTTGTTACTATATACGAAAAGGATAGGTATAATCTGTACAATGCACAGATTTTATAATTGCTAATATTAGATAATGTTAAAAGTACACTTGAATGTATCTAAAGTACATGGGGAAAATATGAAAGTATATCAAACCAAGGCATAATTTTTGCTTAAATTATTATTTTTGATGAAAAAAGATCTTACCTTTACATCCAAAGTGTGTTGAAGTTTTAGGCGCACTGATTCTTGTTCCTGATGCTGTATTATATCTTGACATTCTGCAAACCGCAAAGATGCCTACAATCAAGCAACCACATGTGGTTTACCCTCCATTCTTTATGCAATTTTATTTTATTAATGTATAAATGCAGAGTCGCCATCTATTCAAGGAAACTTCCCCTGTTCTTGGCACACTGTATTACATTTATCTATTTATTTATGTTTTATTCAGAAAACTTGAGAGTAATTGGAGGCCATGTCTTTATCCTCTGTAGCCCCAGCATCTACATGGCATTTAGTATGTGGAGGGCACTCAAAAGAATGAATGAACTAAGGATGAAATGAGCAAACAGCTTTAGCAATGTAAAAACATTTCTATAAAAATAACCACAGCTGAAATTCATTGAGTCAATATATCATGTTCTAAGACCTAAGTTTGAATAGGTGGGATCACAGGTCATTTTCTATCACCATGAAGGCTCTGATTTCTCAAGAATCAATGACTAGTCTTGGTATATTTTTAGGCTTCCAGAGTTTTCAGGTGACACAAAGAGAGATTTACTTCTCTACAATAAATGGCAATGACAAATACAGTGTCATCATTGATCCTTCTCATTATTTAAGCTGTGTTCCCCACCTGCACTTTCTTTTCTTTTTTTTTTAATTGATTGATTTATTTGTTTTTTTAAATTTTATTTTTGGCTGTGTTGGGTCATCGTTGCTGTGCGTGGGCTTTCTCTAGTTGCGGTGAGCGGGGGCTACTCTTCGTTGCAGTGTGCGGGCTTCTCACTGTCGTGCCTTCTGTTGTTGCAGAGCACAGGCTCTAGGCGCGCAGGCTTCAGTAGTTGTGGCACGTGGGCTCAGTAGTTGTGGCTTGCGGGCTCTAGAGCTCAGGCTCAGTAGTTGTGGCGCATGGGCTTAGTTGCTCCGCGGCATGTGGGATCTTCCCGGGCCAGGGCTCGTACCTGTTTCCCTTGCATTGGCAGGCAGATTCTTAACCACTGTGCCACCAGGGAAGCTCCCCACCTGCACTTTTTGAACTCCACAAAGTGCCAGACGTTAGCATTACTTTATCTATGTATGAATATTATTAACAGACTGTATTCTACCTAGTATTCAAGTCCTTCTTTGATAGTAAGTTAGATTGGTGGTATTTTTAGTTATTCAGGTCACGAAGGATACCAGGAGCATCTTACATCTTATATCTGACTGCTCTTGTGACCTGTTAGCCAGAAAAAAGATAATTTTGTAAAAAGTATGCATCATGACTATGTTTTTAAAGCTCAGCCTTCTGTACAGGATACAGTTTTTTTCTTGTGTGAGGTGACTGGGATACAATACAGTTTGACAGATTTGGTTCCTATCAACATGGACCTTTCATTCAGAACAATTCTACTTGGTTAATAACTATTTAGTTGATAACTATTTTATATATTTAGTTAATAACCACCTTATCAAGAGCAACCTCCATATTAGCAAACTTTTCTTTCAGTCGGCGTTCCTGAGATCGTAGGACTTCTAGTTCCCCCGCCATCTTGTTTTTCTCTGTTGCAACAGTACTCAATTCCTGGCTTAATTTTGTCTTTTCTTCTTTTAGAAAATGGTTTTCCTACAATTACAGAGGAGAAAATATCAGAAATAATATGCTGATGTAGATGCTGAGATGTGATGGAAATATAAAACTATTATGTAAAGATCTGAACTATAGCTTAACTGTATACGGATTGGAGTTGGGAGCTGCTAGAATTATGTTACCATGTTTTCTCTCATTTTTATCACTACTAGTTTATTACTTCTTTCTAGGCTTATTAAATCTTTGATAAAACCTATGAACTATGTAATAACTGTGCTGTCATAAAAAGAGACAGTGTTGTGGTGAATTGAGACTGAGTAATCATATACCAAATCAAATTGAAACTTCTTTAAAATGACACAAGAGATTTAAAGAAGACACACGTATTTGAAATCTTTATGGTTTTTCTATTTTGTTTCAAGGTTGAATATTCATTTCACAAATGGTTAAATATTAATTTCACAAATGCCTACTATAGACCCTCTGGCATAAAAAGAAACAGGACACACAGTTCCTGTCCTCAAAGCCACTGTGATCCAGTGATGAGAATGAGCTTACTGATAAACTTATGGAGAATCTTTGGTATCTAACAAAGTTTCATTAAAATTAGTTCATTCCTTTAAAATACATCATGAAATGGGTAGAAAAGAACAAATGCATAGTAATCAAGTTAAAATATAAACCTGAACTTACTGAGTCTATATTTCTTTCTATATGTATATTTTTTTCATAGAGAAAATGTTTAATGTAAACAAGGTAGTAGGTATCACCACTGTAATACACATTTTGGATACAAATAGTTTTTCCTTTTCTGATGAGAAAGAAAGAAGGATTAATTTTTCAAGCTGCCTCCTTCCTGTTTGAGGGGAATGTCATCGAGCTTTGATGAACACCTTCCTTTACTAGGTGCAGGTGTTTCTGGTGACAGCAGGCAGTAACCTCTTACTGCCCTAAGTACCCTTGGGGAGGACGAGGATAAGCCCTGCTTTAGGTTCCAAATAGGCAAATAATGGAAGAAGAAAAAGAAAAGAACAAATTTAGGATAAGAAATGGAGGGGAGAAAAAAGTGGGAAAGAACAAAAGCACAGGAAATAAATAAGTCCATATGATGAGGGGTATGCACAAATGTATGTATATATTTGTTAATACTTAGCCTCATTCTAAAAAAAGTATTTCAGCATTTTCGGTATGGGGAAAGCAATTATTTTAGTTGCCCTTATTTTCTGCTTATGCTGTTTACCTTCCCATCTCCATTACAGTCAGTTCTGTTATAACTCTTCTTCTAAAAGTGCAAATTTGTTCCAAAGTGATTGCTGTTATCAGGGGACATTTGAATATGACACAAATTTCACATTTACTCATGCGCAGTTTCATTTATGAGAAATACGGGGTCAAGGCAGAAAACAGCACCCAGCTAAACAGAGCTGCACAGAAATACACACAAAGCACATACATACACACTCTCCAAACAACTATCAGCTCCCTCAGTTTACCTTGGGTTATGAGCTATGTCCATGCACATCCTGTGTTACAGGAAACCCACCTTCTACCCCTTCTTAACAACTCCCATGCTGCAATTCTTCAAGGCACAAGCAAACTTCCAGTCTTTTTTAAGATAAAAGGCCATCCTAACTGTAGTATTTATGTATCTCTTAACCATTTAACACGTGTAAAACAGTGCTTCTATTTTCATTAGGTTCCTGTTTTCCTTTTGTCGCTGATGAAGTTCGTTAGTGTGGTGCTCCTAATCCCACTGTTCTGATAAGCCCCCTGGTGGTTTTTATGGCACAATTTTGCATAGCGTGGTGATTTCAGGAACACATATGTTGCATTAGAGCAGAACTGAATATGCTTTGTTTATAACCATTCCGTCTCTCTACCATGAATATCCTTTCGCCTACTTCTTGCAGTTAAAATATTAGCTCTTGGACAGCTACATGTAAAAAAAATGAAATTAGAACATTCTTTAACACTATACGCAAAAATAAACTCAAAATGGATTAAAGACCTAAATGTAAGACCGGACACTATAAAACTCTTAGAGGAAAACATAGGAAGAACACTCTGACATAAATTGCAGCAATATCTTTTTTGATCCATCTCCCAGAGTAAAGGAAATAAAAACAAAAATAAACAAATGCGACCTAACTAGACTCAAAAGCTTTTGCACAGCAAAGGAAACCACAAACAAAACAAAAAAAACAACCCACAGAATGGGAGAAAATATTGCAAATGATGTGACCGACAGAGGATTAGTCTCCAAAATTTACAAACAGCTCATGCGGCTTAATATCCTAAAAACAAACAACCCAATCAAAAAATGGGCAGAAGACCTAAATAGACATTTCTCCAGAGAGGACATGCAGATGGCCAAGAGGCACATGAAAAGATGTTCAACATCACTAATTATTAGAGAAATAAAAATCAAAACTACAATGAGATATCACCCCACACCAGTCAGAATGGCCATCATCAAAAAATCTACAAACAATGAAATGCTGGAGAGGGTGTGGGGAAAATAGAACCCTCCTATACTGTTGGTGGGAATGTAAATTGGTGCAGCCACTATGGAGAACAGTATGGAGGTTCCTTAAAAAACTGAAAATAGAGCTACCATATGATCCAGCAATCCCGCTCCTGGGCATATATCCGAAGAAAATCATTGTTCAAAAGGATACATGTGCCCCAATGTTCACTGCAGCACTGTTAATAATAGCCAGGATATGGAAGCAGCCTAAACGTCTATTGACAGATGAATGGATAAAGAAGATGTGGTACGTCTATACAATGGAATATTACTCAGCCATAAAAAAGAATGAAATAATGTCATTTGCAGCAACAAGGATGGACCTGGAGATTATCATACTAAGTGAAGTAAGTCAGACAGAGAAAGACAAATAGCGTATGATATCGCTTATATGCGGAATCTAAAGAAATGATACAGATGAACTTATTTACAAAACAGAAACAGACTCACAGACTTAGAGAATGAACTTAGGGTTACTGGGGAGAAGGGTCGTGGGGAGGGATAGATTGGGAGTTTGGGATTGACATATACACACTGCTGTATTTAAAGTACAACAGAGAACCAACAAGGACCTATTGCATAGCACAGGGAACTCTGCTCAATAATCTGTAACAACCAAAATAGGAAAAGAATTTGAAAAAGAATAGATACATGGGGACTTCCCTGGTGGCACAGTGGTTAAGAATCCGCCTGCCAATGAAGGGGACACGAGTTTGAGCCCTGGTCTGGGAAGATCCCACATACTGCGGAGCAACTAAGTCCGCGCACCACAACTACTGAAGCCCACACGCCTAGAGCCCACAACAGGAAACTAAGCCTGTGCTCCACAACAGGAAAAGCCACCTCAGTGAGAAGCCCATGCACCTCAATGAAGGGTAGCCCCTGCTCGCCACAGCTAGAGAAAGCCCGTGTGCAGCAATGAAGAACCAACACAGCCAAAAATAAATAAATAAATATATTTATTTTTAAAAAATGAATAGATACATGCAAAAAAATAATAAAAGAGGACCAAGGAAAAAAATAATAAAATAAAATAAAATTCATTCCAGAGTAGTTACAAAAAAAAAAAAATTACTAGCTCTTTCAAGGTCCTGCTCAAATGTTCCTTCAGGAACTTTCTCCTCATTCTCTCTGTCAGGAATAAACTCTTGTCTTTCTTCCATTGTACTTTGTATCTCTGCTACATCTTCTTCTGTGTTGCAGTTTACTAATGAGTGAACATATTGGCTTCCCCCATTCCAAGGACAGAGACTTACCTCGTTTGCATTTGCCATGGCCTCTTCTAAAAATTGTATCTTGCTCTGAAGGGCATCTATCTGACCTCTTTTAGCCGTAATTTGTTTTTGCATCCCCATTGCCACTTTCATAGCTGGAAAAAAAGGAGCTAAACTGTATCTTAGTTTCTAAAGTTTCTAAATTTTGAGAGGTGACTATAATTTGATGGTCAAACATTATGAGAAGGTGACAGGTAAGATTCCTCTAAGGCACGTGGACAGTTTCAAGGAAGTGTTCACAGAAAATGTCTTCAGATTTCACAATATTGGGATATAACAATTTTCAGCAATTACTCAGAGGTTTTGAGCTCAGAAATGTATATAAATGATGATGTTTTGTGATTCCTTGCTAGAATTAATTTCATTGGCCATCATAATTTGCTGTATCTCCAACAGTAATAAATAATGCTGACCAAGTTCATACTTACACATATAGGAAATATATACACACAAAATATATACAGTCATAAAATGAAAAATGTATATAGTATTTTTACTAAAATAATTTTTCTAGAAACTGATGTATAAAATACCATGCAAGACATCTACTATAAGTGATCTTTTAAAAGATCCCAGTGATATCACAAACGATTCCATTTCCAATCTCATGGTTACCGTCATGTGCTTGGAACTCACTGCTGTTTCAGAAGTCAAACTGGCAATGCAAGCATATATGTGATTATTTTACTAAAACTGATGACAGGATGAGAATGTTCTAGACAGGTAGTAGGCACTGAATACTTAAGATATGGCAGGCCACTGAAAAGATGAATAAAGCTCATCCTTGTTTGGAAATTCAAAGTCAGAGACCTTATGTTGTTTCTTGGAGTCAGCTGAGAAAAGAGGTTTGGAAATGCCACTGCTTTGAGTTAGGTCCAGCTAGAGCTTAGAGGTTAACAAGAAAAAGAAAATGTGCCATTCTTTAAAAGCAAACTATTGGAGGATGAAAGGTGTGACTTCTTCCCAACAAGATACAGTTCTTATAGCTAAGCTGTCAAAGACAGGGTTAATACAGGCACAGTGCGCTGATTGGTTGGCATCATTTGCTCACCACTTTGAAGAATTTTGGTCTGATTAAGTGGATCATGGTTGGCCTTCAAAGGTAATTTTCTTAATAAAGTTTTTGTTTTAAGGTGATCTTAATCAATGAAAATAGGCATTCGAGAGCAAATACAGGATTACCTAGTTAATTTAACAATGGTAATGTGACTGGGACAGTTGTGGAGAGGCCTGGAATACACTGAGGACGAGACTCTGTCTGGTGGAGGGGACGAGGGAACAGACCCCAGATGGGCCTCTGGAGTGATCTCTCCAAGCCCCACCATTTTCTTGGTGTTAACCAGCGAAGAAAGAGCTGAATCTCCAAGAACCGCACAAAATATGGACGCGTCAAGAATTTGCGTGCCATCTTTGTGCAGGGGCCATGGGAATCTCCTTCAGTATCTTTCCAATTTTGGTATATGTGCTGTTGAAGTAAGCACAAACGTAAGTCTTTTAACATGAAAAAATACTGAGAAATAGAAAAAATGTAGCCTTTAGTTAAATATTTATTCTTACAGTCAGCTAATATAGCCATACAAACAATGATATGAATAATATGAAACAGCAACTAACCTTCTGTCTCTGAATTAATATGGGCAGCAAGGTGAAAAGGGGACAAGTAAGTGGTTGAAGGGACCCCTCATCCTAGCAGTTCAATTCCCAGGGCTCCCTCCCATCTTCATCTCAGAGAAGGAATTGGGAACTGACAATTAGCCACAGGTACACAGTTTATGTAGATAATAACCGTGTGAAAAATAAGGTGTTGAATGAAAATTATTGGTAACCCGTATTTATATCAACACTTCCTTAAAAACAATTAACTGGCATTTATGGACATTGAGGTCTGTTAGGAATTATTGAAATAGCTACAGAAAAAGAAAGATTCAGATACTTAAAGATTAAATTAAGTAAATGGCAATTTCCCTCAAAAAAAAAAACCAAAAACCTGAGAACTACTGCTATATAACACCCATCAGTGATACTATTTACCTATTGTTGTATGTCTCTCACAGCATGCTGCCCTGTGAAGAGGTGAAAGGCAATGTATCTAGGTTTGTGTTTTAATAAATCTAGACCAAGGGAATTAAAAACAAAAGGAAAAAAGCTACTAAAGCATACCGTGACCATCAGATCCTTCCATTGACTTTAACGTATTTCTTGTTTGTTCTAGCTCAGACTGTGCAGATTTTAATTGCATTTTCAGCTTATTTGTAGTAGTTTCCATTTCTTCACTTTTGTTTCGAAAATTCCTTTTTAAGACTTCATAGTCCTCTGTACAACGTGATAATCAATAATAGTTGATTAATTTTTTCTACTCCATTGTTATAAAGTATATTTTATTTGTAATTAATGATCACAGAATTTTAGAGCTGAAAGAGATTCCATTTAGTTACATCATTTGTTACAGAAATTAGATGTGCATACACATTTCCAGGCATCTGACTCTTTTTAATCTGCTTGGGTGGATCTTCCTCCTTTACCCACTTATTATTTACTGCTTTTTCCCAGCCAGTATAATTGGCTCACATCTATTTCATCTTAAACCTTCTTGGATAATCATATCTACCACAACAGATTTAACCTCCAGCTGTAGGTAGATGAAATGTCCACCACATGGTAAGTAACCTGAGGCCGCCATGTGTCTTATCTGATTTTTTATCTCCAGTAACTATCAAAATACCCGGCATTCATTGTTCATACATAAGAATACACACACACACACACACACACACACATACACACACACACACACTTATTCAACTATCTATTTATTTATATTTATCTATTTATATATGATAGATAGATTTACATATATAGGGAACAAACAGAACCAAGACCTCTCTGCTAAGATCTAACTCTGTCTAACTAGACACTTCCACGTGGATGTCCTGGTGCCCCCAGACCAACGGTATCACACTGACTGCGTCTCACCCTCCTGCCCGCAAGCCAACCCCTCCTGGTTTCCTTCTCTCAGCTGTTGGTATCATTGTTCTCCCAATACTGAAAATTTAAAACCTGAAACACATACACAGTCCCTCCAATCTCCAAAAATATTCTTAATTCTTCCCTCTCCTCTCCTTCTCACTGCCACTGCCTTGGTTCAAGTTATCATCACCTTTCCCTGGGACTACAGCAAAACCCTCCTTAACTGGGTGGCCTCTGTTCCTTTAGGCTTGCCTTTCTCTCTTTACCTGCCGACAATGTCCTTCTAACATGTAAATTTGATGACAGCAATCTCTTACTTAATATCTTTTGCTGGCTCCACATTGTCTGCCTCATTTCTTAGTCCTCATTCCTTTGTATTTTTACTTCCATAAATACTTCTGAGGTCACATTATGTTATTTTATGCCTTCATGCTTCTGCCCATAATGTTCTCTCTGCCTGGATTGCCCTTCTACCTCTTTTTCACCTGCCAAATTCCTTTTCCTCCATCAAGCCCAGTACAGATGTTCCCTCCTACGGGAGGCTGATTCTCTATCCTCTGCCACATGTGCAGCCAGCACACGTCCACTGTGCCTCACCCACTGTACTGTAACCTGTTCTATACGGGTCTGGTTCTCAACTAGCCAGGAGCCTCACTGTTGTTTCTAGGGCCTGTCTCAGCATCTGGCATAGTAAGTGTTCAGGAATCACAGATGTATGCGTGTATGCGTGTGTGTGTGTGTGTGTGTGTGTGTGTGTGTGTGTATGAGAAGTAGATAATACCTATACCATACTATTGGTGAACTAGGAGTATTTCATTTTAAAATTTAAGGCCTTGGATTTTTCTGTTTCAAGAAATTTGCATAAGTCTGTTTACATGTGTTGCTTCATTATTAAACATCTAATCAAGCTATCTGACTCAAAGGACTCAAGGTTTCCGCTTCCCTCACCCTCCTCTTGGAAACTCAGTGAAGAATTTTATGGACACTGAAGACTGACTAAAGTTAGTGGTTAGTAAGTGCAAGCTGTGGGAGGGCTTCAAGGAGAAGCATCAGGATTTCAGGTGTCCACTGGGACAGCATAATTATCCATGTTTGTAATTGGGATGAGGAACCATTCTCTCACATAGTCCCAGGATCCTCATTGAACTTCACTGATAGCACTCCTATTTTTTAGCAGAATTTGAATTGGAGTAACATACCTGTAAGACTGTTTAACTCATTCCTACTAGCTTTCACCTCACTTAATAAATGATCTCTCTCTTGTCTGATGTCCTTCACTGCACGGAGCCGCTCAGAGCCTGCATTCACCAGCTTCACCTTTTCCAGCTCCAGGTCACTCACTCTGGCTTCAAGCTCCCGTATCTTTGCATCTTTTTTATCTTTCAAAATCTAAATATAGGGATAAACACAAAGGACAGAGTAAGAAATAAAAAAATAAAATATAAAGCAGCAATAGTAAGCTGGAAAACAAAAGGAATATTTGACTTCCTTTTAACCTTAGATGTTAATTCTCAGTATCACTGACCGCAGCCCTTCATGATTCCTATTCTTTGTACTCATTCATTCAAAAAAAGGTATTGAACACCAGCACCTACTTTGTGCCAGGCTCCACTTTATCTGTTGGAGATAGCGTAGCAGGGGAGGTAGGGGAGGCCCTAGGTGAGCACCTCCTTGTTTTACTCCCAAAACACCTCGCCTGCGAGGCTTCCCCTGCCCTGGCCGTGTACAGCAGTAATCAAACAGTGTCCTCGCCCTCGTGGGGCTTTAACATTCCAGTGAGAGGAGACAGATGAAACAAATATTTAATAGCCAGATAATGAGGACAAAAAAGAATTTAAAAGGTGAGAGGGTAGAGAATGAACACAGGGAGGGGGCTGCTACGTGAGCTAAGTTGGTACGTGGAAGAGAGCCTGCCGGCTACCCGGAGGAAAGCCTGCTAGGCAGGCTGGCTGTTGGCTGTTCTGGAAACTTGGATTTTGAGAGGGTTCCCACCAGTCTAACTAATAAAAGCGGCCCGCTCTGCCTAAACTGTTCTGCAAACAAAACGATTTATGCTGAACACCTGTTTTCCTTTCGGAAGACTGTATTCACCTGTCCGGTAAGGAGTACCTAAATGACCAGCCCCCAGTATAAAAACCCTGCAGACTGAGTCTCTAATGAACTTCTCTGGTTGGCAACATCTGACACATGTTGTCACAACTTGTTGCTGGGGGGATTAAGCATATCCTGCATGACTGCCGGAGAGGACTTTTGGAAGCTTGTGCCTGGTTTCCTCCGTGTGCTTTTTCCCTTGGCTGATTTTGTTTTAGATCCTTTCACTGTAATAAATCCTACCCATGAGCACGGCTATCTGCTGAGTACTGCTTGAGTCCTCCTAGTAAATGATCACCCTGTGAGTGGTCCTGGGGACCCTGCCACAGTCGGTCAGGAAAGGCTTCTCTGATGAGCAGAAACCTCAAAGAGGTAAAGGAGCAAGCATGTGGCAGGCTGGGGACAGCTCCAGGCACGGGTAATGTGTTCAAGGAACAGCCCTGGTCCAGGAGGATCCCACATGCCACGGAGTAACTGAGCCCGTGGACCACAACTGCTGAGCCTGTGTTCTAGAGCCTGTGAGCCACAACTACTGAGCCTGCATGCCACAACTACTGAAGCCCGTGTGCCTAGAGCCTGTGCTCCACAACAAGAGAAGCCACCAAAATGAGAAGCCCACGCACTACAAGGAAGAGCAGCCCCCGCTCACCGCAACTAGAGAAAGCCCGCACGCAGCAACAAGACCCGATGCAGCCAAAAATATAAACAAATAAATTATTTTTTAAAAAAGAAAATCAATATTAAAAAAAGATTTGTGATTATCAGAGGCAGGGAAAGGATGGGGAGGGGAAATTGGATCAGGTGGTCAAAAGGTACAACGTTCCAGATATAACAGAAATAACTACACTTGTGATGTAATGTACAACATTATGACTATAATCAATACTGCTGTATGGTATACTTGAAAGTTGCTAAGAGAGTAGATCCTAAAAGTTCTCATCATAAGGGAAGAAACATTGTTTTATTTAATTGTTTTTGTATCTATATGAGATGATGGATGTTGACTTACTGTGGTAATCATTGCACAATATATGTAAATCAAGCCATCATGCTGTATACCTTAAACTTATACAGTATTGTGTCAATTATATCTCAGTAAAACTAAAAGAAAAAAATTAATTGTACATGACTTGTCTCCTACTACTTACCGTGGCAGATACAGGTAACATAAAGCTTAGGAAATCAAATTTTTAAAAATTGGTTCAATAGTTTTAAATTTTGATAAATATTTAATGAGCACCTGCTGGGTGCAAGGCACAAAGTCCTGGGGCAGGGGTACAAAGATGAATAAGATGTGTACCCTGCTTGAAGAAGTCTGCAGTCTTATCGGGAAGAGGAGACATTGCTATTTACACACACACACACACACACACACACACACACACACACACACTGCAATACAGAACGTGATCCAGGCTATAACAGGTACAAATGCAGTATGATAAGGTTCAGAAGAGAGAGAACGGAATGGGGGAAGAGAACTAATATTTTCTAAACATCTTCCACAGGTCAGGAACCAAGCTAAATAAATCCTTGATACATATTTTCTCATGTAAGCCTCAAATAACCCAATAGGTTTTGGGGGTTTTGTTTTCTTTGTTTGCTTTTTGGTTTACAGACATAGAAGCCAACGTTCAGCAAACAGTCCAGTGTTTTACAGTTATTGAGTGGTGAGAGATGGGGTTCAAATTTAGGTCTGTTTGAAGAGGGACAGAATACTTCTTCAAACTGTGGGATCAGGAAAGGCTTCACGAAGAAGCTGGATTTTCTCTTTTGTGTCAGCAGTTCTGAACCATTTTGGGGCCATTCCTTGTGGAATCTGATAAAAGTATGGAAACTTTCTCACAAAAACATATATGCACACTGACACAAATACATTCAAACAATTTCAGAGTGTCCACAATCATCTTACAAAACCCCTTTCCAGTCAATTAGGTCATACTTACTCATGGGAAAAAAGATATTTCAGAAGCTAAACCACCAAAACACTCTACAGACCTTAACTTCCTGTAGCTCCAGTCTCCTATCATTGATCTCTTTCTCCAGCTGGGCTTTCTCTACTTGCATAGCGCCAGCCGTCCGTCCGTGCTGGCCCACCAGCTGCGTCATGTTTTCAATCTGTTGCCGCAGGATCTCGATCACTTTGTCCTTCTCTGCCATCTGCAGCTTGAGGGCCTCGCATTCTGTCTGCACGTTTCTGAGGTGAGCCCCTTCATTCTTCAGATGCTGCAGCTCCTGCAGCTTCAAGTCCACCCGGGAGCGCAGCTTCATGATCTCCGAGTTGGTGGCCTCGATGGCTCTCTCTTTCTCCTGGAATGAAGCTGTCAGGTCCAACACAGTCCTCTCGGAGCTCTCCAGGCTCAACTTCTTGGCTGTCAACTCTTCTACTACTTTGCGGAGCATCTCTTTGGTGGATTCAAGCTGAGCAGTCAAGGAGGACACTTTTTCTAGACTTTCATTCTTTCCCTGAATTGCTGCCATCTGATTGTTAAAGAAGAATTTCATGAATTTAGGCAGACAGACAGAGGTCTCGAGATATGACAAGTTAGCTCAACAACGTGAAATCATGAATCTGACAGTGTCTCAAATTGTTCTGCTGTCAGAACCTCATAGAGACCATAGACTGACATGTGTTAATTAGACCAAGGTGGAGAGGCCTTAATTGAATAATAATGCTCCTCCTCTAGAGTGGTTTTCTAGCGTTGGGAGGAGCTTGGCAAGTTTCCTCTGAGGATGTTTTCCACACCAAGTTAAGTTAGGATAGCACTGGCAATAGTGGAGAGTGTGGTAGGATTGAAGACAAACCGCCCTTTCTATTTCCCTCCAACCTGCCCCTTAATTCCGGGGGAAAAACAAAAACAAAAAAAATCTGTTGGAAACCTTCAACCCTGCTGTTCCTCAGATCTCCCTATGGTTTGATGCTTTTCTGAAATAAGCAATTACTAGGTTACCAATTTCTAGGTGGAAATGAAAAGGAAAATTGGATGGGAGTTTCATTACACAACAATGGACAAAAACGAGATAAAGCTTAACATTTTAAATTTAACGAGTCGTCAAAAATATAGACATAAACAACAGGTTTTTATAAGTTGCTCACAGAATCCACAACTCTACTTTGGGGGAGACCAAGGAGGAGCCGCCCAGCCCTGCCTGACCTGCCGTTCCATCTGGCCCTGACACTCGCTCTTCATGGCCTTAAGGAGGGCCTCCAGGCGCTGCACCTCCATGTTCCTGTTGTCCAGCTCCCGCCGCAGGTGGTCGATGGTGATGCTGTTGCCCGTGTCCCGGTCCCACAGACGCTTATTCTGTTCCTTCTCGAGACTCAGCTCCTTCTCTCGTTTATGCAGATCAGCCTACAAGAAACGAAGATAAGTTTTTTCCCTAGTATTAAATAATTAAAGTAAAATTCTTATTTTCCTTCCTTACATCATTTTTGGAGTTGCTATGGGATTTGAGAAGCGTTTGATTTTGGAATCTGATTCCCTTTTAATGGCTCGATAAAGAACAATATTTCCTAGAAAAATAACATTTTGTTTACTTGTAATTTCTAGCATTACACCTCAATGGACTAGACCCCAAATAGTATATAATGAAGAGGAAACTACAAATCATCCTGTTAAGTTTTGAATTTTCTAACAAAGGCATTATGCTTCACATCAAGTGTACTCCTGTAATAAAGAAAAGCTTGAAGGAAAAGCAATAGTAATTTGGTTGACTGCTTCAGAAATAGCAGAATAGTGTCTGGTATTGGGATTGGAGGGGCAATTGGGTTGTGAATAGAATACCTCCCTCTTCAGTTACTCAAGAAACATATAGTGAGTGTTTACTGTTGGCAAAAACTCCATAGTCGGAGAAAGAGAAAAAAAAGACACACAGATATTCAGAGAACTTTTCACCCAGAGAGAGATAAATGGACAAATAACTGGAAGTGGCTTTTCACTGAAGAGACAGAGCTAATGAACAGCAGAGAGAAATGATCGAAAAGGAGATCAAATGCTTCAAGACGGCATCTAAGTTGGACCTTGAGAACAGCTTGGAGATGCAGAGATTAGGAAGAAGGGACTAGAAAGACACACATGGGGTTTGCTTGGAACACTGGGTGTATGTGGAGAGAAGAGACTGGAAAGGTAAGCTGGGGCCAGATAATAATTGAAAGGCAGGGAGTCTGACTTTATGGGGAGAGTAATTTCTGAGTGGAAGAGAGACACAATCGGAGCTATAGTTTAGAAAGATGAATACAGGCTGGACGGAAGAGGGAAGAAACTAGATTTAGGAACCGAGTGAGGAGATGCTGCCACACTGCAGGTATAATGAGGGGCTTGGATGAATGGGTAGTGGTAGCAAGAATGAAAAGGAGGGGATGGTTATGAGGACGGTTCAGACATTTAACCTCCAAGATTTTCAAATTAGATATGAGGACACTGGGATACACGCAATAGGAGGGAGAGAAGTGAGGATCATCCCAAGGTTTAGAGCTTCTCTCCCAGTTGCCAGCTCTCCCTTTACGGCGCGCTCTTCAAGCCCCGTCGGCCTGTCCTCTACCAGCAGAGGGCGCTGTAGCCTGGAATAAGGTTGGGTGGGGAGAAAAGAACCCTATTCTATAGGACCTCTAATAAATATCACACGAAGGGGTACTAATATCTCCTTTCCTAAACTTCTCAGCCTGTCGTATCCCTAAACAGAGGGCAGAATCTGGTTCACTACTCTCAGAATCCTCTCTTCTTTCCTTCTAAAAAATTTTTTTTTACCTGAACTTGCATTTAAATTTTCTTTACACATAATTTGTATGTGTTCTGGATGTTGTTCGGCTTTGAAATGAACACTCAACATGATTTCAATTTAGCAGAACACAGTACCTAACTGAAAGACTATGGGTGTTTGAAGATTGGCTTCACCTAACTTTTAAGCCCTAACAGTTCTGCTTAAATTATAGAGTACTATATTTTATATGTAAAACTTGAGTAGTAGTGTCTAGGATATTGTGCTGTGTATAAATGTACAACTATGTTGTAAAATTTGTAATTTTACAAATAAAACTAATTTTGTGAACTATTGTGGTAAAAATTTCCCAGAATTAATCTCATTCATATTTCAGAGCATCAACTTGCCAAGAGCTTTTGAAGTTGATCGTCCAGATTTCCAGATTCCTGACTGAACTGATCACGTTCCGTCCGTGCTTCCATTAGTTCTGAGTTCGCAAGAACTAACTGCTTCTCCAGCTCTTCTATCTAAAAGGAAAGCACAAATCAGTCTGACTACGTCAATGAGTAATATAAAATAAATATAGTCTTTGGAAAACAAATGGTATTATGTTGGGGCAATGGTATTATTTGGGGGGCAAAAATAAAGTTTATTGTGATGTATTTTGCAAAGTTTTCTAAACTTAAGATCTATGTAGAATTTAGCCAGACAAACTGACCAAAATGAAATACTTGGTGCTTTTAGGTTAAGCCATGGTCTGTAATGCATCACTCTCATTTTCACACTATTCAAGATTTATCTTCTGTGAATATGTGTTCTATAATTTGGTATTTAAGGAAGCTTGATGTAGCATAAATAACATTCTGCAGAGCCCACGTAAATTAACTATATTATACTTAGAAGAGCTATTTTGTTTCAGAATATCAGTGTCAGTAATAAAAGGCATTGAATATAAAAGAATAAATGGTAACAACAAGTTTATAGTTACTGTCATTATTATATAATCACCCTATTTTGCAAGAATAAGTGAAGTTATATTACAATCCTCAATTCCTACGACTATAAAATGGGACAAGAATACCAATTTTAAAGGATTGTTATAGGTGTACTTTTCTCTTACAGACGGGCAGCTGTTTCATCTGTGTGACTGTGCATTTCTATGACATATGCCAGAAGGGCCATAGCTGTTAACAGCATCCCTACAGCTCTTAACCTGGAGGTGCAGTGCAGGCTAAAAGGTTAAGGTCTCAGACAATGCAGATTCTGGGTTTAGATTCTGGCACAGCTGTACAAACTCATAACTTAGACACAGATATTAAAATAATGAAAAACTACTGATACTTAGTGATATGTAGTAATCCCTGATCTTTCATGTGATATCTACAATAATATTTCGTCATCCACTTTTCAGTAATAACAAATCTTTCATGTCTGCATAAATGTTACACATCCCTTCTTACTGCTAAGGCATCTATTGAACAGGCTTCCAAATCTACTGTCAAGGATAAAACTGATCGATTGGTTTGGACGCAACTGTGATTAAACCTTCTTAAAGAACATATGAGCAAGACTAACTTTTTCTTAATGACTATTTTAAACTGGACTAAGTTCATTTAAGACCTTCATTTATTAATTTAGCACACACTTATTAAGCACATTATATATAAACACATATATGCAACTATCTCTTTGATAAGTGGTAAGTATGAACACTTAGAAGTTATCTGTGTGTGTATATATATATATATATATATATCTTTATCTACATACATACATACATGACTTAAGAAAATACTAACACAGGACTATCAAATAGTTTCAAATTCAACAGAGTAGTATTACAGCCTATAGGGACTGGAATATAAATTTTAATATATACATTGGATATATTTTAAAACTGACTCTGTATTTGACTGCATGTTATATATAAAAAAAGTATTTCACAGGAATTAGATAAAATAAAACATTAGGTGACCGACTGAAATGTGCTCATAGATTCTCATAATCCTATAAAGAAGTACTTTCACTCTTGTGCTCCTTTGGGGGCATATACAGAAAAAAGCCCTACAACAATTCACCCTCTGTGGCACAAGTAGCTTCCTAAGATAAATGAATGAATAATATCAGTTGATATAACCTCTTCAGCTCTTTTATTATTGGGAAAGACTAACTCAGCACACTTAGTAAAGACAGTAGGAATAGTTAGGAAAAAACCCATAAACTTTCACTTTGGGTAGACAAATGTGATCAGACACGAAACGCGATCTTACTAAGAGTCAAACACCTTGGGTTCTGAACCAGCTTCTGTCACATAAGCTCTCTGAGTCTATAATTTGAGTCTAAATTACACATTTTTCACCAATAATTTGAAAAAAGTATTCTAGATGATCTTTTAAATTCCTTTCAATTCTGCTACTAATACTTTTTAACACAAGAAGAACAGTATTAATGAAGCTGAAATTCCATCTTTTCCACCTGTCTTTGGAAACAAAATATGGTCAAAGGAACCATATTCTGAGCTATAAATTTAACAAGAACACTTTCAACTTGAAAAGTTACTCATATGGCTAAAACAAACATCTTCTACTCCTAGTCTGGTGTAAAACCGTTTCTGTCTTTGAGCAAAGTATTTGTATATGCGCTTTAAAAGCTTCAATTAAGACTTGCTATTTTATGTCTGTTTTCACTTTTTAAGAAATCCTGGGTAACCATTTGATGTTAAAATCTATGAGGCCAAAAAAATAAAAAGAAAAGAAAAAGAGTCAACTCGTATCTTTCTAAGTATCAGAAGTTCCTCCAGACCCCTGCAGGAACACTTGTTTTGTAGTTGTCAGTACTGACTCAACTGCTATAGCTCTGCTTTTACCTTTCACTTTTTAGAGTAAAAATATTTATATTAATTAATCATTCAAAAAGATAAATGGAGAGTGAAAGGGAAAACCATTGAAGTAGCAGCTGAGCTGATACAAACAGCTGTTAAAAACACTATAAAGAAAAGCCTTTTAAAATGTCCAGAATAAATACTGACATCTGAGATATAGTAAAGGTTTTTTCTTTTTTTCTTTTTAAATAGCAGCACTGGTTTTCCCTTTCACCATCTATGAATCTACTTTTTGTTTTGGATCACTGGACAAATCGGTACTGGGATCTCATTCTAATCTTACAGTGATTTTAGGTATCACCAATCGTGCCAAATTGTATCTTTTGTTTTCTGTGCTCAAAAAGACACAGTTATGGGGTAATAAGGGATGTTGCAGGTGAGCATGGAGGTGCATTGGCAGAACTATGCAAAGAGGTTTGCACAGAATCTTCCCGCAGAGTATATAGCTCCAGCCAGTGCTACTAAATCTTTACTTTTTGAGTATGAAATTCAGCCCCAAATGCTTTCAAAGTAGGAAAAATAAACTTAGAATCAAGATCATGAGATATTTTTGTTGTCAAAAAGCGAAAGTTAAGAGTAAAGCCAAATCTACAGAGCCAATAGTGATAGCTTCTACTGGTCCAATTTCGTAAAGGGGAATTCTGGAGGTGCTCCTAAAATGGAAAGAGAAGAATAGAAAAAACATTACAGTAAAACACTTTTGTATGTCTGAAGGCTACGTCTAAAATGTTCTTTGAAACACAATTTCTATTTTCATCAATATGATCTGAAGAGAAACACTGCCCTCCTAAACAAGTTTTCTCTAAACTTATGCATTTTAGTTGGGAAAGTTTTGTTCAGACCTGTCATCAGTTTTTTAAAAATAATACTTTTTTTCTGAAGGAATCTGACCTCAGGAGAAAATAGTAATACTGCCTGCCTCTCATAAAATATGTTGATGTATAATATCAACATACCCTTACAAGTCTCTTTTCTCACAAACCTCACTTTTAATCATAGCTTTTAAGTATTTTTTCCTTATGGTTATTTGGACAGTATATACGAAAATGTGCACTGAAGCAGTGGAAAATAAAATATATTTTAAAGTTTTAATAGGCTTTAGCAATGTAAAGTCAAGGTACATGAAAAATAAAAGAAATTAACAAAAGAATCTGTCTTTAAAAATTCTATATTCGATTTATTACAACAAAAACATTTCATAACAATAGAATTTTTCATGAACCCAAACTGAAATACTTTTGTTAACCTGCTTGATCTTCTTTGCTCAGTTATGCCATGTATTATTATTATTATTATTTTTTTTTTTTGTGGTACGCTGGCCTCTCACTGTTGTGGCCTCTCCCGTTGCGGAGCACAGGCTCCGGACGCGCAGGCTCAGCGGCCATGACTCACGGGCCCAGCCGCTCCACGGCATGTGGGATCCTCCCGGACCGGGGCACGAACCCGTGTTCCCTGCATCGGCAGGCGGACTCTCAACCACTGCGCCACCAGGGAAGCCCTGTCATGTACTATTAATGCCTTTCAGGTCGGAGTATATTCAAATCTATATTTACACGGCAGGGTAATCATCTCTCAGTGTTCCTTCACTAAAGGGAGTTACTGTTAAGAGATCCTTGTTAACCATCATCTAGGTGCCAACTCAGTTAGGTTCAATATGCTTTATTATAAGTCTCAACGATCTGGATTAAAATTAATTAAACTAATATGCCCCCCTTATTTCCAATAACGTTGACTGTTTAAGACTGTCGAAATTCTTGGTGATCCATTGTTTACATTAGAGCAAAGTAAGACAATGGTTTTAGTATTGCTTGTATCTATATGACCTCAAAACACTCTTATAAAAGGTTTGCAGTCATTCATCTGGATGCTTATGCTTCTAGAATGCTAAAGAGATAGACGTTTATAAAAACCAAAACTATTTTTGTATTGTTTACATGCCAGTATTTGTTAAAGTTTCCTACCATGCCCAAATTTAGAGTTGATCGGCATGATGCTATGTATCAGACCATGTACAGATTAGCGATGGGTGATAGCTTATGAAGGGGTCATCTTTCCAAGCGACATTACAAATGGAAAGCTGTATCGATTTCCAATTATGTAAGACCAACAGGTGAGTTGAGTTTTATTTAGTACTTCGTGGCTTTTCAAAGGGTTTAATTTGTCAATAAACAATGAACAGTCTTTTCAAAATGGTTTGAGTATGATGAATATCGGTTATTGTACTGTACTATAGTACAGCAGCTCTCCTATTGCCTTTCTCACTGTTGGATCGTCAGTGCTCAGCTCGGCCAAGGTGCCTACCTCCACTCAACCTGAGTAGTAAAGTACAGCATCTTTCTACCCCACGCTGTATTGAAATCATTACCATAACCTATAGGGTGAGATCAAGGCCTTTTGTGTAGGCTTGATCTGCCCAGAATGGGTTCGATCGATATTCCCGCTATCAATCTTCAGGGGAAAAGTTCACCCTGAGAAAAGAAACTAGAACACAAAAAGCAGGCCTCAGAGAAGCAGTAAAGAGCAAATATTTCTCTCCGGGCTTTTGTTTCTTGGGTTTAGCCTTTAAGAAGTCTAAGGTTCCTCAAGGCTGCTTCCAGGTGGCTGTTGTTGAAATGACCTTGATACAAGAATCTAGGCCAAGAGCTAAGGAAGAGGTCTTGGAGAGCAGTGTTATTCACACTGCAACCCAGCAGTGAAAAATGAAGCCAACTTAGTGAGCATCAAATCAGTATCTGAAGAAAATGGAAAAGAGCCAGCGTCTTAAGTAATAGGGGTAAGTATTGTTTTGTGAAGTGTGCTTCAGTTGTATCTGTGTACTAGATAATATGGTAAACTATATTTCTTGCTGTGGGTAGTGATCAAAAATGTTTGAAAGTCCCTGTAGAGGATCCAAATCTCATAACTGAGATTATATAGTTTCATGTTACTCTTTATTGTTTAGGCTTTTATAGTAAATTCATGTCTAAATTTTCCATTCTTCTTTCAGCCGTGCCACAACGAATTAAAGTTGAGGTCTTTAAAGTTGAGAACCGAGGAGAAACAGCCCCCTCCTGTGGCCAGCAAATGGGTGACAGCGGTAATTACAGGAGGGGTTGCTCAAAGGCAGGGAAGTATCTGGAAGAGTTAGTGCTGCAATATTCAATTGCTTCTTCCCATAAGGAGCTTTTTTCTTGTACTGTTACCCTGTAGAACTGGATTATTTTATAAAGAAAATCTGGCAGCTTCCTTATACTCTATTTCTTCCCAATCAACTAAGGAGTAGGAAATTAGCTACAAGTGGTTAGAACTGTAGGTTCTCTTATAGGCAGGATGATTATACGTAGAATTTATCTTCCAGACTAGGACATTTTGGAGATGAAAGGTGGCATTCACAAAACAGGACACTATTTTGTGTCCTTGAAATTAACAAAAACCTAAGCTCCAGAAAAATGGTTGATAATGATAACGAATAGCTTGTCTTTAGCTATAGACAGGGAGAGAACAGAATATTGTAGTATTTACAATTAATATCTAGTTTTAATAGGAACTGTGTGATGAGAAATGAAGATTTAGCTTCCTAATTATTTTTTTTCGGCCCAATCTTGAAATGAACTCAGTTTGCTAGCCACACAATGATTAATAAGGAGGAGCTGAAGTAAGAGAGGAGGTTAGGCCCCAAAACGTTCAGTGGTCGGGGAGACCAGCTGGTACCAAAGTACCTGCTAAAGCTAAGCCTTGTAAAAGTAATTAAAATGGCCTTATTATTCACTTTTTAGAAACTTACTTGAAGGATGCAAAAAACTTTTCTAAGAATGAATGAATTTGAGCAAACAACTTAAAAACCGTTTTTCTATAGTAATTTAACATGTAGCTATTTAGCACCCATCTTATAAACTGCTTTTAATTTTAAATGATTGCTTTGATTCCTCATTTTCAAATAAACCATTAAAAACTATATAATTGATTCTGGGTATAACAGTCGCTGGAAGCAGAGCAGCAAAATCTAAACTCACCTTGCCTTCATACATCCTTTTGGCTTCCCTTAATTCAGAACGTAGCTGAGAAACAGTAGATTCCAGGTCACTGAGTTGACGCATATACATTGAATTTTGGTTTCTTGCTTGTTCTCTAAAAAGGGTTTAAAGGGGGAATAACAGCAAATAGCGGACTAAGAATAAGTGTGATACCTAAGGGTTCTCTAGCTTTTAGATACTTCCACTAATTATTTAATATGGCATTATTAGGCCAATAGTCTTTTATTTTCCAAAACTGCTTATTAAAAGATTAAGTTCAAAAATGTTAACTGTTAAAGGTAGGTGATGTATACGTAGGAGTTCATTATACAATTTTCTCTATACCTTTGTGTATGACTGAAAATGTCCATATAAAAAGTTTCAACACAGGAGGTCAAACTATAAAGTTATTTATATGTATATATATATAATTTATGTATATTTATACATACACACACATATATAGTGTGTGTGTTTGTTTTATCCTATCAGTTGAAATGTAGACAATATCTAAAACATCCCGTCCCAAGAGGCCCGAATACTTGCCCTAATACTTCTGATATGGTTATAAAGTATTATCTACATGTTAAGTAATCTTTTCTGTTTCTTTGAATGTTAGAAAAGTTTTACTTTCCTGTAGAATCAATTATTAAGTAATTTTTTAAAAGATCTTAGAACAAAAAATTGATAAAAATAAAATGAAGATAAATGACTATCAATTTCAAACCACCAGGACACACATACTGAATGATTTCCAGTTGACTTTGGATACTATTGGCTTGGCTCCGAGCACTGCTAGCTTTCTCAGTAAGTCCTGCTTTTTCAATTTCATATTCACTGATTAACTGCTCAATCCTATAAAAAGAATGTGGTGATTGTTATTTGATACAGATGTTGCCTGACAATGAATTATTCTAAATATTAATGATTTTCAACACTCTCAAATTTAGTATTTTGTTTTAGCTTTGAATATGCTATTCTTTTTATAACAAGTATGTAAATTAGATCCAGAATCCTTTATCCAAGTCCTTTGGGGGCAGTCAGGTTTTAGGATTCAGATTTTTTTTTTTTTAATTTTACAATGGTAATAAATAACAGTACTGAACATCATGTGACACCCCCAGAGAGATCTAGGGAAGTGTCCTAGAAGCCAGACACTACTAACACAACAGTAGGTTTTTAAATATTCGCGGTAACTCATAAAGACTATAAAAAGCTTTACATTAGCTCAGGTTTTCCCAACAAATGAGTGACAAAGACTCTAACCTTGACCAAACTTTAGCCAGACTCCTCTCAGCAGTCTGCGCCTCCACCCCACTTAGTAAGAAGCCTAGGCTTAGTATGAATCTCGCTAGGTCAGTTTAGTAAGAAGCCTCTCACCTCGATGCCTCCTCCTAGTAATTTTCTATCCACTGAACCCCTCGCCCTGCTTCTTGGCTATGAATCTCCATTTGCCCTTGTATTGGGAGTTGAGCCTCATCACTCTCTAATGCAAACTCCTGTTGCAATAGTCTTCAATGAAGTCTTCCCTACTTTTTAAACACGTGTCAGAATAATTTTTTCTTTAACGTGAGTTTGCCACAAATCTATGAAAAAAAGATTCTGTGCTTTAGAGCTTTACAGATTTTGGAATTGCTGATGAGAGATTATAGACTTGTGGTATAGTTTCACTACGATCTTCTATACCAGTGTTCCCCAACCTTTTTGGCACCAGGGACTGGTTTCATGGAAGATAATTTTTCCATGGACTGGGGCTGCGGGGGAGGAATGGTTTGGGGATGATTCAAGTGCATTACATTTATTAGGCACTTTATTTCTATTATTACTACATTGTAATATATAATGAAATAATTATACAACTCACCATAATACAGAATCAGCGGGATCCCCGAGCTTGTTTTCCAATTGATTTATTGTGGTCCCTGTGCAGTCAAACCTCTCTGCTAATGATAATCTGTATTTGCAGCCGCTCCCCAGCACTAGCATCACCGCCTCGGCTCCACCTCAGATCATCAGGCATTAGATTCTCACAAGAAGCATGCAGCCTAGATCTCTCGCATGCGTAGTTCACAGCAGGGTTTGCGCTCCCATGAGAATCTAATGCCACGGCAGATCTGACAGGAGGTGGGGCTCAGGCGGTAATGCGAGCCATGGGGAGCGGCTGTAAATACAAATGAAGCTTCACTCGCTCACAACCACTCACCTCCTGCTGTGCAGCCCAGTTCCTAACAGGCCACAGACCACTATCAGTCCGTGGCCCAGGGGTTGGAGACCCCTGTTCTATACCTCAGAAACCTACCTATTTTGATGTTGTTGAAGTAGTAGTTCTATTTTGTTCTGTGATTCAGATTTCAGTGTTTCGAGCTGATCCTCTACCTGGTTATAAAAAAGAGATACTGATTTAGGAATTGGTAAATCTGAAGCTTGGAAAATTTAGAGATTTTCCAACAAAAGGAATGCCTTAGAAAGATGCAAACAGAAGCAATGCTAAAATCAGATACATTCTATCGCTGTATTTTATTAGATCTTTTACACTGGCTATACTCTCACGTAACTATACAGATACGTCGAGTTAGTTCCCATTATTAACAAAGATCATTGTGGAAGTAACTTCTGCGATTTTAGAGACCAAAAATGAGAACTTGGCTTACTTTGAAGAGTTTCAAAAATTATATGCCGAATACTATTGTCTTAATGAATTTTAATACAATATTGATGTAGTGTCCTCACCACTTACTGGAAATATCCTCCCTTTAAGATAAGAAATCTCTGTGTCTAATTCTCTTAGGATTTTACTAATAGCTGAGCCCATGCTGCGGAAGTGGATGGTAGACATGCAGTCATGGTCATATATTTTCTTGCCTGAGGCTTCTTCAAAGTCAACTAGGACTGATCGAATTTCTTGAAGCACTCCCTCATGACTAAGCATCATCTTTCTTAGCTGCTCTATCTGTGTGTTGCTATCTTTCAGCGTATCATCCTGAAGGCATTTGGCAGCTTCAAGTTCATGAACGGTATTTTGAAGCTGATTTCTTAAATCCTCCTGGGACTGACTCTCTCTTCGTCTAGGAAATAAATGAAAGAGAAGAAATAATACTGATAAAACTCAGATTCACACAAGTGATTTTACACTACAAGGAGTAAAACTTTAAGATAATTTCAGGTAACGAATCCCAACCTGATGTCAGCCATGGCATCTCTCTCCATCTGCATCTCTTGAAGTTTTGTTTGCAAACCAATGACTGACTGTCTTAAGTAAAATGTTTGTTTCTCATGCAATTCATTGCTCTGAAAAAAAAAAAAAAAGTCCTGCAAATTAGTTTTCATTAGAGGAACGTATTTCCTTATAGCTAATAATTTCCAAAAATCTATATATCAATGATTTATTTTTATGTGTACTTCCTTCCCCCTTCACCATTGTTCGGGGCCTAATTAATCATTTCTCACCTAGGTTTTTTGAATACCTTAGTCTCACTGTCTCAACCTTGTCCTCTTTCAATCCATTCACGTTACAACCAAAACACCGTTCCTAGAACAAATCTGACTCTGGTTCAAGACAGAGATAGAAATAAACTCTATTCCCGAGGACATGAGAATTGGTGGAAATTGTGTATATAGAAAAGTCAACCTCTACCTCCAACTGACTTAAAAAACTTGGCAGCAGACAACTACCATTCAAAAATCAAGGTGTTCTACTACAAAGAAATTCACAAAGATCTCAAAATCAGGCACTGAGAGATCTCCCAGCACAATGGCTGATGCCCCACCTAATTATACCAAAGTAAAGCCATCAAGTTCTGCCCCCAGGGAGACTGCCATCAGTTTTTTTACTGTTCATTCTTGAGTATGAACAAAAAGCCAAAAACCACTCTGAACACTTGAAGGAAGATTACAAAATAAAAAAGAGACCAAGATTAAACAAATGAGCAAATACTCAGGAAAAAAGATCCAAAGAAACAAAAAGAGATAGTGCAACAGTGGAAGAACACTTCCAAAAACTTGTATCGCAGAGAAATTTGAAAGACATTTTTGCTGTAAAGTAAGAACAGGACACTGTGTCAGAGAAGCGATCAGAGGAGAAGAGAGAGCTCTTGGAAATTAAAAATATGGTTGAAATGCACCCCAAAAGTAAAAAAGTAGACAAAAATTTTGAAAGAAAAGGTAAGAGATTTAGAGGTTCAAGCTAGGAGCTAATATCTGACTAACAGGAGCTTCAGAAAGAGAGAATTGAGAAAACAGAAAAAAACTATCAAAGAAAAAAGAAACCAAAAAAACCTGAATTCCTCAAAGCTGAAGGGCACAAATCTGCAGGCCAAATGGGTCCACTGAGTCCCTTTTGGTACTAGCACAGGGAAGGAAAAAACAAAAATCCACACTTAAGAACATCATGGTGGAATTTCAGAGATAAAGACCCTAAAGTTTCCAAAGGTGAACCCCAATTAAGTAAAAACATATCATCTACAAAGGAACAAGAATCAGATAGACATCTTCTCAGTCTGTGCAAGGGCACACAATATTTTCAAAGGACTGAGAGAAAATAACTTTCAGCTTTATCCAGCTTAAGTCATTATCAGAATGAAAAAATTCATATAATGTATGTCCCATATACTTCTTCTTAAAAGTTTCTAAAGATGTGTTTTGACTAAATGAAGAAATAAATCAAGAAAGAGGAAAAGAGAAAACAGTGAATCCTGGAAATCATGAATTCAACCAGGAAAGCAGTGATAGGAATCCCAAGAAAATATCTATACAGCAGACCTAAGAAGAAACTCATCGAGACTAGACAGAAGAACTCCTAAAGGGTCCTGGGTTAAAGGAGGTTTGATAGAAAACCTATATAATAATTTTTTAATGAGGATATGATAAAGGTAAATATCAACAGTATAAGGAAAAAGCAAGGCAATTAGGAACCACAGGAAAAACAAACATTACACAGGAAAGGAAATATAATAGGTTACTACCTAATTCTGCAGTTGACAATGTTTATATAGTCAATATAAGGTAAGATCCTTTACCTTCTTTTCTAATAGTCCAGGTGAATGGCGGGAGTAGTCTGAACTTTGTATGGTAACAGTGGAAATGAAAACATTTCCATATTTGAGAAATATATATGTGGTACACTGGATGGACTTGGTAGTAAAGTGGCTGGATGTCAGGGAAAATGAAGAGGTATCAGGAATGAATCAGGTTTTTGCCCTGTGCAACAATATAAATGTGGCACCATATACAGCTAGAAGAAAGGTTTGGGGGAAAGATCAGGTATGTTGAGTTTATGGAGCCTGAGAAACATTTCAAGTAGAAATATCCAGTAGGAACACAGGTACACTAACTGGTGTGGAGACCAGTTAAGAGGTCTGACCAGAAATGTAAACTGAACACTCACTTACATGTACATGGCAACAGAAGCTATGGGAATCACTATTACTGTCTATGGAGGGTTTTGCTGGAATAAGAAACTGAAAAAGAATGAGCTGGAGGAACATCAGGAGAGTGTGTTTCCATGAGACCTAAGAGAAAAGAGCACTTCAAGAGGAAGAGAATTGTCATGTGTGTCAAATGTTGTTGGAAAGTCAAGTAAGATAAGGAATGTAAAGCATTGATTAGATTTAGCATCACCGCTTACCCCTACTGTAGCATACATGTCCTGTTACTATCGTTTTCTATTTTAAATATCTCGGCTATAAGACTGTAAATGTGTACATAAAAAGGACCACACCTTTTCCAGTTTTATATATCCAGTACCTAGCATAATATCTGTTACATAGGAGGTTTCTGATAAATATTATAAGTACCCAAATAGCCCTGTTATTTATTTACTGATTTAACTAATTTATTGGGAGCCAGTCAAGTGTCACATACTCCGCCAGAGGATAGACTTGGAAAATTAACTGACATTGCTTCTTTTCCTCATTGGTACCTCTGTGCTTCATCTATCTTTCTATCTATCGATCATCAATCCATCTCTTTAGTGCACTTCTCATAAAGTATTCTCATTACTTGTTTATATGCCAGGCCCCCTTCAAGACTATGAACTCCTTATGAGTCCTATCTTATTCATCTTTGCATCCCCTCTACATAATACAATGGTATCTCATTTTCAGCACTTAATAAATTTGTAGTTTTTTTTTAAGTGCTCACACATTCTGATGAAGTAGAACAGTCCGTTAATAAATATAATAAAACGTACTAAATACTACAATAGACGTGTGTATGAAGAGCAACAAGTGTACAGAGGGGAACACACCTACTTGTGTCTAGAGGAGAGGCTTCAGAGAAGGAAATGCTTGAGCTGAGTCTTGATGGATAATAAGAATTTAACAGGTAGACAGGCAGAGAAGAGGAAATGACTTGGGCAAAGGCATGAAGGTCTAGAACAGAATGGCACATCCAGGGAAGAGTGATACGGCTAGAATGGAGGGTACATATAGGGAGCAGGTAGCCGAAGAGGCTAAAATGTACAGCGAAAAAAATTCGATCACAAAGGCCTTTGTATAAGTTTGACTTCTAGGCTGTAGACTATCAGGATCCAACATGCAGCTGTAAAGCTGACTAAAGCCAGCTTGATTCTACACAAGGTCCACTCGAAATTTTTATCGAATAACTTCTATACACTACTTAGCTATCGTGTATACACATACATCTAAAAACCGACCCCCTACCAACTGCTTTGTAAAGAAAAACCAGGTATCATGAAAGCAGGACACCAGGCCTGAACCAATTACTAATTATAATTATAGATGAATGCCATTAATTATAACATTTTGAGCAATTCAAGTTTCACTAAGATTACACCAAGAGCACAGCAAAAGAAACAATTAACAAAATGAAAACGACAACCTATGGATTGGGAAAAAAATGGTATTTGCACATCCTATATCTGATAAGGGGTTAACATCCAAAATATATAAAGAACTCATACAACTCAATAGCAAAAATCCAAATAATCTAACTAAAAGTGGGCAAAGGATCCGAATAGACATTTTTCCAAAGAAGATACACGAATGACCAACAGGTACATGAAAAGATGCTCAATACCACTAATCACTAGGAAAATGCAAATCAAAACCACAATGAGATATCACCTCACACCTGTTGGAATGGCTAACATCAAAAAGACAAGAGATAACAAATGCTGGCGAGAATGTGGAGAGAAGGGAACCTTCGTGTACTACTGATGGGATTATAAAAAACTGGTGCAGCCACTACGGAAAACAGTATGGAGGATCCTCAAAAAGTCAAGAAGAGAACTAACATATGATCCAGCAATTCCACTTCTGGAAATATATCCAAAGGAAATGAAAACACTATGTCGAAGCGATACCTGCACCCCCATGTTCATAGCAGCATGCTTTATAATAGCCAAGACATGGAAACAACCTAAGTGTCTCCTGACAGACGAATGGATAAAGAAGTTGAGGTATGTATGTATGTGTGTGTATATATACACACACACACACGATGGAATATTATTCAGCCACAAAAAGGAGGAAATCCTGCCATTTACGACAACATGGATGGACACCGAGGGCATTATGCTAAGTGAAATACGTCAGACAGAAAAACACAAGTATCATATGATCTCACTTACATGTGGAATCTAAAAAACAAAATACCAAAAAAACTTACACAGTAAGAGATCAGATTTGTGGTTACCAAACAGGGATGTGGGGAGAGGGGGAATTGGATGAAGGTGATCAAAAGGTACAACGTAAGTACCGGGGATGTAATGTACAACATGATGACTACAATTAACACTGTTGTATGGTATATATGAAAGTTGTTAAGAGAGTAATCCTAAGAGTTCTTATGACTAGGAAAAAAATGTTTTTTCTTTTTTTTTTTTTTAATCTATATGAGATGATAAATGTTAAGTAGATTTATTGTGGTCATGATTTCATGATATATGTAAGTCAATTCATTATGTTGTACACCTTAAACTTATGCAGTGCTGTATGTTGATTATAGCTCAATAAAACTGGAAAAAAATTACACCATTAAGACAAGGCATTATGACTTATTATTAACAAAAGACAAATGGGTGTGTAGACTTTTCATCAGTCCAATTTTTAATAGTGAAACAGAAGGCATAGGCCAAATTAACAAGTTTAACCAATGAATCCATTGTTATTTTTTTTTTAATTTTATTTATTTTTGGTGATTTTGTGCTGGGTCTTAGCTGCGGCCGGTGAGCTCCTTAGCTGTGGCATGCAAACTCTTAGTTGTGGTATGCATTTGGGATCTAGTTCCCTGACCAGGGATCGAAACCCATGTCCCCTACATTGGGGGGTGAATTCTTAACTACTGCACCACCAGGGAAGTCCCATGAATCCATTACTAAGTTTTTTTTCCAGAAAGTTTGGGTTCTATTCCAAAGCTCTGTGCCTCACTGTCTCCCCAAAATGGTATCAGATACTGGAGGAAAAGAATGTAACTCACTTCATTTAGTCTTCTCTGCAAATCTTTGACTTGATGTGAATATTCTTCCAAAACACGTTCAATGTGTTCCTTTCCAGGGTAAGGAATGACTTTTCTGTGAGAATCAAGTTCCACTTCATATTTAGGGAAAAAAGGGATTTGTGTCAAAGTCCCAGTTGAAGATGTGTTTTCAATTATTGATCCACGAATAGATGACATAAAAAATGAACCTGAAGAACCTAAATATTAAATAATTAATTAACCAATTAATTAACTTAATAATAAAATAATTTTGTGGCAAACATTATCCCAGGTAGATTCCCTTATTGAACCCTGAAGGAGCTCAAGGTCTCATGGGGAAAACAGAAAAGTGAGAGTGTCTCTGAGAGAGAAGAGCACACGGTAAAAAGGAGGAACAGGTTAGGGAGGAGGGGGTAGTTTTACTTGACAGTGATCAAGTGATACTTGAATTAGTCTTGAAGCGTCTATGAGTAAGAAGTAACTAGTCTGGAAGACAGGAGAAGAGGAAGAGCATTCCAGGCAGTGGGAACACCATCATTATTGGCGAGGGGTCTTGAAGCAGCGCGGCATACTATGGGTGAAAGGAAGTAGTGGCCAGATATGAGAATGAAAATGTAGGACATATCACGAAGGGCCTTGTGGTCATGCCAAGGAATTTGGATTTCACTGTGAAAGCTCTAGGGAATCATTAAAGGGCTTGAAGATAGGGGTAATACAACTACACTTGTGTTCTGAAAAGGCTCTCTGGCTTCAGTGTAGAGAATGCATTGGATGGGGATAAAAATGAAGGTAGAAACTCAAAGTAGAAGGCGGCTTTCAACAGTTCAGGCAAGACATGGCAAGGGTCTGCCCTAAAGCAGAGACAGCAGAGACAGAAACAAGGGCATGAATTTAAGAAGTATATGTGGTAAGTAAGAGAGAGGGAGACATCAAAGATTTCTCTTTAGTTTCCGGCTTCAGCAACGTCCAAGTAACGATGTTGATTTGCAAATACTGTACATGGACTTGAAGTCTGGGAGAGTGTTTTACTTTAGAGATAAGCTTCTGGGAATCATCAGCATATGAGTTCTAATGAACCCCTGGAGTCAAGGGGATCATCTAGGGGCAGCGTACAGAGTGAAAAGAGAAGAGGATCAAGCAGAGCACTCCGAGGAAATATTCACATTTAAAAGGAAGACAAAGGAGGTAAAACCCAGTAAGAGTCACAGAAGACACACGAAGATTTTCAAGAACCACCGCTGGCTTGAACTGAGAGACAGAGACAGTATGAGATGGAGAGAGGCTTTTCTACAAGCAGGCTGAAAAAAGCCACCCAGCTGGAAACGTATGCTACCTTTCATGCAAAAGGGAGGAGAACTCAGAGTCAGACCCAAGAGTCCAGTGGATGGTTCCAGGAACCATGGAGACTTATCCCCAGGCCTGGGTCCTAATCCATCAGCTAGTCCTGAGTGGTCAGCCTGTGCCCAGCTGGATTGCAGAACTGTGTGCATATGTGCTTCCAGACATATGTGCTTCCTGTTTACTGCTTCCTCAATAGGAGTGGACAGTGGTTATCCTGTGCCTGGCTACCATTGCATGTTGGGTGTCACAAGTCTTCAGAGAATGAGGAACTCTACTCAAGGAGCTGTATTTAAGGGATTACAATTAAGGAGTTTCATCCATACTTGAATCTAATTTAGGTAAAGGTATTCTGGCCTCTCAGTGAGTGCTGTAGTGTGATCAGGCTATTAGGGGCCTTCTTAGGAAAGTGAATATATTTTGCATGTGAGAGAAATATAGATAATCTGTGACCAGAAAGTAAACTTGCAGTGGTTTTAAAATATGTCCACATATTCTTTGCTACTCCTCCCTTAAATAGGTGGAGGTTAATTTCCCTCTTCTTTGTAAGAAAGGAGAAACAAGAGTGTATGTGTACGTGTATATGTATGTACATATATGGATATGTGTGTATGTGTGGCATTTGCTTAATTTTGCACAAAAGAAACACTGGAACAATAAGACAGAATCTCATGAAAACAGCTATCTATAGGAGTACAGGGATGGGTGGAAATAGAATGGAAAAGATAGGGATGGCAGCAAGACTCTATTGAATACACCTTTTTATAAAGTTTTCACTTTTGAGCCATATACATGTTATACATATTCAAAAAATAAAATTGAAAACTAACAGAAAACAATAAACCTAAGTGTACAGTAAGTTGATAACATAACCTCACAGAGAAAATAGTTCCTTTCAAATAACTTTAGAACACAGTACCCTGGCTGCACGTGAACTTAACTTAGCAGGTAAGCTGTTAATATAACAGGTGTCGTTACAATTCTGAAACAATTTTGTGTGTACCGTGTAAGAGAGAAAACAAGTAAACACACTGAAGTTGTTGGAAACTTGAGTTTTCACTGTAAGGGAAATACAGATATGGAATGGGGGGAAGATGAGGAAGAACTCTGTGGTACTGGATTTGAGAATTACCGGTGTGAACTTAAGGGAAAAAAATCTAATTCCAAGCTTTAGACACTGAGCACTCCTAGACACAGTGACACTTCAGTAGCAATAAGCACACGAGATCTTGGTGTGTGAATACTATTTCCTACTAGAAGGAACCAGGGCTCTTTAGTGAATAGCTGATGCCGGGTCTGGTGGAACAGGAGGAAAAGTACAGCCTGGAACATTCTGATGTGCCAGAAAGTAATGAAGTGGGCCATGTTTTAAAAAGACACAGAATTGGCTTAAAGGGGCTGGCCAAATTTGGTACAACTGAGCATCAAAACAACAGTGACAACAATACATTATAGCACTGTGAATTAAAAACAACCTATGTATCTAGAGTGATAATAATAAA